ATTTTCAAATTGAAAACACAATAGAATATCTAAACTCTTTTTCAATTGAAAACACAAACAAAAAGCTACACAAGTTGAAAACTAAAGTCCTACAAATTACTAAGGGTGCTCGTGGTTTGGAGATTTGGTTGTGGTCAAAGGAATCTCAAGTCCGCCATCCGTCCAAAACTAGGTAGATTGAAAAAAATCAAGCCACAATAGTCCGCTCGTCATTGTGCATCTGTCCAAAATGTGGCGAATCGGTTCGGCTCGGTTTGGTCGTTTTGAGCGGATCAAAATATCCGCTGAGCACCTCTACTCATAGTAGAATGCTAAACATAGTAACGAAAAACACACACGAGCGGGATTCTAAAGTACAAAAACCTTACATATTTACTAAGCGGGATGCTAAAGTACAAAAACCTTACATATTTACTAATGTCCTGCGAAAACTACAAAACAAAGTTAGGAAATATTCATGATTTTATATACAATATCCTAATGCAATACATACACAAAATGCGACTAGAGATTTAGTTACTAAAACATGACATGTAAGTAATCTCAAGACATGAGGTAGCGCACAAAACCACAAAAGAATTAATTAAATTCATAGGTGCAAATGAGCCAAATCTAAATGCGTGAAATATAGATACAAAATATGGATATGATGAAAAATAAAATATGATGCTATATATAAAATATGAAAAGCGAGTAAATAAAAAGGATAGAAAAAAATGGGATTGGAAGGCATACATAAAAAGAGGTAGAAAGATGTGGGGTAGGATTGGAAGATTATTACAACATAAACCGAGTCTAACAAATCAAATGAATAAGATAATTTTTTTTTAAAAAAAGTTACTAGTTGTTCGCCGATTACTATTCATTTGGCAAAGCACTATTCATCTGCCATAAATTATTCTGTCTGCTGTTGAGTGACTGCTTTATTTTGCCTGGAAAAACTTATTTTACGAGAGCACTATTCATTCGGTGGAGTGTTATTCATTGCCGACAGTACTATTCACCGCGGCGGTTACTACTCATCATTCTCGGTCATTCTTCATCTTACTTGGCATTTTTCGTTTGCGGTTACTATTCATCGTCGGAGGTACTATTCACTGTCAGGGTTGCTATTCACCGCCGGAGGTTACTATTCACCGCTGGTTACTATTCGTCCGGGGAGGTCATATTTCTAATAAATTAGGTGATTTCGATTAACCATTTAAAACAATAAATTACAACAGTTTAGTTCAAGTTATAAATTACAATATTTTATTAAAGTAATAAATTACAACAGTCTACGTACAATAGTAAATTACAACGGGGTGATGCATCCTTCCCATTAAAGCAATAAATAAAGTGATAATTAAAGTAGTAAAGGAATTTAAACAAATTATATTACATTTTTAAATTTAAATGAAAGTTTAAAAAATTCATCTTTTTGAGAAATGACGAATTTTTTGATTTACAACCTTTCTTTTGATCATCCTGAAGGTTGTGAAATGTGTTCTCAATTCTCAGTCAAAAATTCAGAATTTCAGTTTTAATGGTGTTTGGTGTATTGGTAAAAAGGCAATAAAGAAAATGAAAAGAAAGGTTTAGTTCAGAAAAACAAAATATTTAAAATTTTCTGTTTCCTTCTTTCAAAAGCTAATTTTTTTCTTCTTTTTCCCTCTCCTTTGAAAACAGATTTTTCGCTCAATCTTTTTTCCTCTCAATTTTCCCCTCTCAATTCTCTTTTCTGATCCTCTCTTTTTCTTTTGTTTTCGATCCGCTCCATCTGTCTGTATTTATAGGAAAAAGAAAAGAGAAAAAAACAAAAAACAAAAAACAAAATTAGTGGGAGGAGCTGAATTCAATTGATGCATAGTAAAATTACTATGCAATCAACGCCTTGGGTGAGATTTTTCAATAAGCTCCGTTTGGAAAGTTGGTTTAAAGGTTTTTTTTTTGGCTAAAATAGTCACAAAAAATAAAATAAGCTTTTTAGCTCAATAAGATAAAATATCACATCCAATCCATAATCATTATATTCTTCTCTTACAAAAAAGTCAAAAAAGCCAAAAATCTTTCCCAAACCAAGCCTTTTAACCCTAGGCTAAAATAGTCAAAAAAATCAAAAAACTAACCCACTTCCCAAACGAAACTTAGTAACTTTATAATATAATAATATATAAAATATCTAAAATACATTATTTACATTAATATATGTATAGATATTCAAAATATTATAAAAACACACCAAAGCATGTAAAATTATAAAATAATAAAAATGAATGGATTAATAAAATATGTTTTACAGGGTCAAATATGTAAAATTTAGGCTAAAATTGGTTTAAAACAATTTGACTAAAATGGGTGAAGGTTGGGATTAAAGTTTAAATTTCATCTTTGCACTGAGAATTTTGTGAGATAGTATATTCTTATTTTTATTATTGTGTAATAAAAAAATAGCGCCAAATTTTTAGGACCGATCAAAATGGGATGTCTACAGCTGGGAGAAACAGGGTCAGTAAGAGGTGGCAACAACGAGAGGATGTGGTAAAGGAATTGTTGATGCTAGAAGTAGGATGTAAGAAAAATCGAAAAAACCAACCAAATTGATTGAACCGGACCAATATTTGGTTTTTTTTTTTAAAACAAGAATCAATCTGTGCTATTTTTAATTTTTTTTTTCGATTTTCAGTTCGATATTGGTTCAAGCACCTTATGTACCGAACTAAAGCGAAATCAACTGCTTCAACATATATTATATTTATAATATATATAATCTAATAATATAATGATATTAATAATTATAATAAATTATTAACCTTAATTAATTAAGCTTATCATCTGTATAACCTAAATTTGTAAACTTTAATTATATAATTTTAATTCTAACGTATTATTCTTGAAATCTTAGTATTTTTTAACATTTTATTCTATTTTTATTTTTATTTATTTAAGAATTGAAAAATATTTATTAAATGGATGGATTGAATATGTTTGAAATGGTAAATAAATAACTAATTTAATATTTTCATATAGATTAATAATTATATTTAAAAGTGACTCAAGTTTGAAATGTCCTAAACTGATTAAATGGCACCGAATTGAACTGTTCCAATCGATTTGGTTCGGTTCGATTAAGTGCGATTTGATAGGGAAACAGTCTATATTGATGTTTAAAATAATAAAATTGATATTATCGATTCAGTAAATCTTTTTACTTAAATACTGACCGTATTGAACTAATTATATCTCTAGGGCAGAAAAGAGCGAACATGAGAAAAAATAATTAATGAGAGAGGGAATTAAAGGATTTTGGTAATTTCTCAAAGGAAAAAAAAAAATTCTTATTATTTTACCACCATTTTTAATTATTTTTTTTTAATTTTCAGTTCGGTATTAATTCAAGTACCTTGTGTACCGAATTAAAGCGAGATTAACTGCTTTAGCATATATTATATTTATAATATATATAATCTAATGATATAATGATATTAATAAGTATAACAAATTATTAACTTTAATTAATTAAGCTAACTTTTTATTTTATTTTTATTTTTATTAGTTTAAGAATTGAAAAATATTTATGAAATGGATGGATTGAATATGTTTGAAATGGTGGACAAATAACTAATTTAATATTTTTACATAGATTAGTAATTATATTTAAAAGTGACTCAAGTTTAAAATGTCCTTGACCGATTAAATGACACTGAATTGAACCGTTTCAATCAGTTTGGTTTGATTCAGTGTGATTTGATAGGAGAAACAGTCTATATTGATGTTTAAAATAATAAAATCGATCCAATAAATCTTTTTATTTATATACTGATCGTACCAAACAAATTACATCTCTAAGGCAGAAAAGAGTGAATATGAGAAAAAATAATTGACGAGAGAGGAAATTAAAGGATTTTGGTAATTTCACGGATTTTAGAAATTTCACGCCAAAAAAAAAAAAAAATCTCATTATTTTACCACCATTTTTGTGTAATTCTCGCAAATTAAAACATTGAAATGCACGAAAGAACAAAAGGGGGAAAGTTGACTTGGTCTTCTCTCTGTTCCACACATTTCAATGAAAGTTTAAGAAGATAAAAAATGCGTAGAAGACGAGAAGTTATTGGTTAGAAGGGGAAGAGGACACACACGAAGACGAAGACGAAGACGAAGTCAAGAGTTTTAGAGAGAGAAGACTGACGCTGATAAGAAATATGCCTTTCTTCGCAACATTACAAGCAGATAACTCTCCATTCTCTCTCTCTCTCTCTCTCTCTCACTCTCTCTAAAAGAAATTGCAGGCATTGCATCTATACTTTGACTCTGTGTACATGAAAAGATACACGTACCTTGGTTTTCACGTTAGTACAGATAAGACACCAGGTAAAATACAAGAAACACCATCGTCTTCATCGTCCCTCCCTCAGTTGTTTCTTCTCTTTATATATGAATTATTTTAAGAGGATGATTATAATTTATTTTTTGATAAAAAATTATTTATAAATTATTTTTTTTAAGAGAGGAAGTGATTATAATCCGGTTAGTAACCTACTTCCAAAGGAGCCTAATATTTCTTCTCTAAAACGAAGGATTGGTTTGGAAAAAACTAGTGTGGGGTCCGTTTGGAAATCTTCTCCTTTAATCAAAAAAAAATAAAAATATTAATTTTTTTAACTTATATTTTAACTAATGCCTAGTTTGAGAAGATTAAATAAGTGTATTTTTTAACTTTTTATGAAATATGAGTTGGGTTTGAGTTGGGTTGAAAGTGATGTGTTAAAGAGGCGATGTGACTTAAATAAGATGATGTGACCTAAATAGAATAGTGACTTTTTGACTTTTTATCTTTTTTCAATCCTTCCAAACTTGACCTAAATAATTAAAATATTACTAAATTAACAGGTTTGCAAACGAGTCTCAGTTCTCTCTAATTAGTCGCTTGTATCAGGTCGTAAATTTGTTCTCTCTCTAATTAGTCGCTTGTATCAGGTCGCAAATTTGTTATTCTTTGATTTATATATATATGTAAGTAAGACAGTCTTTCTTTATAAGCGTGAACACCTCTTTCTTACTAGGAGAACCAACAATCTCTCTCCCCCTCTCTCTCTCTCTCTCTCTCTCTCTCTCTCTCTATATGTCTTACTCTTTGTGTGAAAGCATGGACAATAGAAGCTTTGTTTCGGACACGGTAACGTCTTATGAGGCAAAAGACTCTGAAATGGAAAGCGAGAGCTTCACCGAATTATCTGTTTTCACAGAGAAATTGAGTTCAATTGTGAGTGAATTGAAGGAAAGCAAGCTAATTAAGAACCCTCCAATTGGAAAAGCGATTGAATCGCTTGAAACTGAACTCGGGCAAGCCAAGGACTTGATGATGATGATGAGAAACGACCCCAATTGTAGTAGGACACCGTTGGAGAAGCAGATCGAAGAGGTGACCCACGATCTGGGTCGGTCCTTAGGCCTTGTTCTATTTGCTAGTCACGATGTGTCTTTAATTGCTAGGGCTAGCAAAGAAAAGATTGAGGCTCTGCGCCGAGAATTGATGAGTGTCAGGCTCAATTTGAGTTCTGAATCGGAATTTGTGAATGATGTCGAAACTGAGGAAACACAAGAAACAGATGAGGCTGAGGCTGAGGCTGAGGCTGAGGCTGAGATAGAGATAGAGACAGAGACAGAGATAGAGGAGGTTGAGGCTGAGGCTGAGGCTGAGATAGAGACAGAGACACAGATAGAGGAGGCTGAGGCAGAGACAGAGGAGGCTGAGGCTGAGGCTGAGGCTGAGGCTGAGGCAGAGATAGAGACAGAGACAGAGGAGGCTGAGGCTGAGGCTGAGGCTGAGGCTGAGATAGAGAAGGAGGAGGAGGAGGAGGAGGAGGAAAATGAAACTTTTAGAATTATTCTGGATATTGATGATGTTGTTTTGCAGCTCAAGTATGGCAATGATGATGAATTTAAGTCGGCACTTTTGGGGTTAAATGCGTTGATTATGGATAATACCATCACGAGTGAGCAGATTAGCAATGAAGGGGTAATCCCAATTCTTTTTAATCGATTGGGTTCGAGTAAGCCCAATAATCGACTGACTATAATTCAGATACTAAGAAAGCTCACATTACAGGATGCTGAAAACAAGGTATATTGGAATTTGGATATGCCAATATTCAATTAGTAGTAAGTACAACTAGTTAGTTAGTTAGTTAGTTAGTTAGTCAGTTAGATTGTTTCGGTGTCTTACATTGTTTTGTAGTTTTTGTGTGCAGGAGAAGATGGCAGATGCTGGGTGTTTGTTGACTTTGGTGAAATCCTTGGCACGGGATGTGGAGGAGCAGAGGGAAACCGTGGGATTGCTGTTGAATCTCTCAGATGTTGCTGCGGTTAGAAGAAGGATTGGAAGAATTCAAGGGTGTATAGTTATGTTGGTTGCGATTTTAAATGGCGATGATTTGGTTGCTTCGCATGATGCAGGAAAGTTGTTAAATGACTTGTCAAAAAATACTCAAAATGCTCTTCATATGGCGGAAGCTGGTTATTTCATGCCCCTAGTACAATACCTCAAGGAAGGTAATTCCAACAAGTTTTATTTCATTTGTTGACCGTGCTTTGGTGTGACTATTCATCATGATATACACAAATTCCTTTGTATAATTTAGGTACTAAATCTAACTGTATGCATGAAGTTTAGGTAATGAACTAGTTGCTAGATTTGGAGGTGCTTCTTCTGGTTAGAGTTTAAACCATCTGGATTTTAGAAGTTGTTTGTTTTGGGTAATAATTATTTTGTTGATGAATACAAGCAACAATGATACACTTCTCTTTTTTTTTTTTTTTTTTTCAAAAAAAAATAATATTAATAAAGCATGATATTACTGGACCATAAATTTTGTGATCACAAAGCAATGGAGCATTACAAGTGAAACACCAATCCCTACCTTCCTAATAATTCTTTTGTCAATCTTGGTGATATAATTTAGAACTACATGATAGTTGCTTCCATGAATTGAAGAGGCTGTAGGTTTTCACTTGCTTGTTTACAAAATGACTCCATGTGATGGACGAAGATTGTAAATTAAATTACTAGGTAAAATTGCCTACTTTATCACTACTCCCAGATCCTGCTGTAAACTGGAGAAATGTTTAATTTATCCACCTTTCTATTAATAAAAAATTAAAAAAAATTCTTAATCAACAATGCTCTCTATTAAAAATCAGATTCAAGTTCTTTTGCCTCAGACCACTGCAAATTCCAAGTTCATTGTTCACCAATTAAATTTGCAATGCTTTTGTTTTGTATTTGCAGGTTCAGACATGAGTAAAATTCTCATGGCGACTGCACTTTCAAGGATGGAGCTTACAGATCAAAGTAAAGCTTCCCTTGGAGAAGATGGGGCAATTGAACCCCTTGTGAAAATGTTTAACGGTGGGAAGCTTGAGGCGAAATTATCGGCTCTAAGCGCATTGCAAAACTTATCCAGTTTTGAAGAAAACATCCAACGTTTGATGAGTACAGGCATTGTGGCATCTCTACTTCAGCTCCTTTTCTCTGTGACATCTGTTCTCATGACACTCAGGGAACCAGCATCGGCCATCCTTGCAAGGATTGCCCAGTCTGAATCTATTCTTGTTAACCAAGATGTTGCTCAGCAGATGCTCTCACTTCTAAACCTTTCAAGTCCAGTGATTCAATTACACCTCTTACATGCACTTAATAGCATTGCTATGCATCCTAGTGCATCCAAAGTTAGAGTGAAAATGAAGGAAAATGGTGCAATTCAGCTTCTCCTACCCTTTCTGACTGAAAATAACACCAAAATCAGGACTGGTGCTTTAGAATTGATCTACACCCTATCTAAAGACTTGCCGGGAGAACTGACAGAACAGCTAGGAGAAACCCATCTCAACCTTCTTATTAGTATTATATCATCAGCAACATCTGAGACCGAAAAGGCCGCTGCTGTTGGCATATTAAGTAATCTCCCGGTTAGTGACAAGAAATCTAGAGATATACTCAAGAGGGCAAACTTAGTTCCCATTTTGATCCCTATGTTAAGTTCAGCCCTTGTAACTTCAGCAACACCCACAACTTGCTGGTTAGCAGAGAGCATTGCAGGTGTATTCATTCGGCTTACAGTTCCTTCTGATAGGAAACTACAACTACTTTCTGCTGAGCAAGGGATGATACCTTTGCTTGTGAAGTTACTCTCAAATGGGTCACCAATGGCTAAATCCAGAGCTGCAATTTCACTGGCTCAATTATCACAAAATTCATTCTCTCTCAGAAAGTCCAGAACAACTTCGAGGTGGTTGTGTGTCCCTCCTTCTGCCGATGCATTTTGTGACGTTCATGATGGTCACTGCTCTGTCAAGGGCACATTTTGTTTGGTGAAGGCTGGTGCTGTTTCTATACTCGTTCAAATTTTGCAAGGTAATGACAGGGAAGCAGATGAAGGAGTTCTCAGTGCTCTTTCTACTCTTTTGCAAGACGAAATTTGGGAAAATGGAAGCAATTGCATAGCCAAAACATCGGGTGTTCAAGCCATTGTAAAAGTACTGGAACAGGGGACCGTGAAGTCTCAAGAGAGAGCACTATGGATCTTGGAAAGAATTTTCAGAGTTGAGGCTCACCGAGTTCGGTATGGGGCATCTGCTCAGGCAGTGCTTATCGATCTAGCACAAAATGGTGATCCTAAATTAAAACCAATTATTGCTAAGTTGTTAGCACAACTTGAGCTCTTGCAACTTCAATCCAGTTACTTCTGAGATTATTCCATAATCAGAGAGGTTTGTTAATTATTGTCTTTTAATTTTTCAAATTAAATTACCAAGTGTAAATGACAGGAATCTAGAACAACTGATGTAAATTTAAATAAATAAATAAATATATATATATATAGATAATCACATGGAATGGTTCTATAATCCAACACGAAAGATTGCACAAATGAATGTAATCTTTTTTCTACCACCGTCAATATCTCAACCTTAGGGAAGATTAGTGCAATTTTCCCTTTTCGATTTTAGAATTAGATCTTTGTGCCTGTCCTTCTAACTTCTCTTTTTCATGCGACACCAAAGGGAAAGGAGGGAAAAAAGAAGAAGAAAAGGAATAGAAAAACCAGAAAAAAGAAATGAGTAAGAGTTGGATTTAATTGTCATCAAGTTCTATTGAAAATAAGGTTTAGAAAAATCATCGGTAAAGCTAATTTTTTATGGTGGTTTTCTGCATGTCGCTAAAATTTGACAATTAATATTTTTTTATCACAGTTTTTATAAATTGTTGTTAAAACTTACAATTAGTGATATTTTTTCTGTAACGAATGTTTTAAACTGTCACTAAAATTTATAATTAGTGATATTTTTTATGATAATTTTTAACAATTAACAATATTTTTTAATAGTATTTAATAAAAAATATAATTAATTCTGACGAGACTTAATAGAATCCATTTATTAGGATGTATACATAACTTCTACGCAAAAAATTATTGATTTGACCCTTTACATATGAGATATTTTAAGCCATAATGCCCACAATTTTGTACTTCCCATCTTGTTCATTTTTTACCGTGTAAACTCATTTGTTATGCAAAATTTTCTTGTACGTTGGTAATTGAGTCAACTTCCACGCCTGATTTGTCGTTTGTTCATCTCATCGTGCATAATTGACTCCTAATTGGGTGGACCTTCAACTTGCAAAATATAGTCATCTCTATCTCACCTTCGTCAGACAAGAAGTAACATGATGGGAGAATAACATCGTGTAGGACCAGACACTCTAGAATATCATTTTAAATTATTTAGTCAGAAATGATAGAGACGTCATTTTTCTTTGACCCCATAATTCTCGCAGACATATGTTAGTGAGTGATAGGAGAAAAAATAAAAAATAAAAAAAATAAAAAATGAAAAGTTGGATTGTTTTTATGTGTTTCCACATGTGAAATAATATTTGTGGGATTGTTTTTCGTTTTAATAATTTTTTCTAATTCAACATACTCACAAGAAGTATCATAGTTCATTGCAAACTTGTTCATATATATTACTTTCTCATTAAATGTAGCATCTTTACTTATGATTATTTTTCAAATCTTGTCATCCCAAAATCAATAACCAAACTCATCAATGTCGTACCCAATTATATTTAACAGATTTAGGATGAAGCATGCTTCTATATGGAGATTTAGCACACTGAAATACAAGCAAAAGCTGTTAATTGGGAAAGATTTGACTCTTTCTTGCTCCGGCCTCCGGTGTTCTCCATCCATAGAAATAAAAGTAACCATAATTTATTAGATATGTTGTAGTGAAAATTGCATCTAACTACAAGAATTAACACTTTTAGTAACAAAAAAACTGGTCGCTAAAAGTCTATTTTTGGTCGGCAAAAGTTATCCGCGACCAAATTTTTTGGTTGCTACTTTGGTCGCCAATTGAGGGTTGGCAAAAGTAATTCGCGACCAGAATTTTGGTTGGTCGGCAAAAGTTGGATTTGCCGACTAAATTTTTGGTCGCTAAATATTAAATTACCGCGACTAATTCATTTTGTCGCTAAAACACTTTGGTCGCGAAAAGTGATATTTTTCCGACCAAATATCTTAGTCGCCAATTGACACATTTCGCGACCAAAAAGTTTGGTCGCCAATTATCACATTCAACGACCAAAAAGTTTGGTCGCCAATTGTGACATTCCACGACCAAAAAATTTGGTCGCCAATTGTGACATTACGCGACCAAAACTTTTGGTCGGCAAAAGTGAGTTTCCACGACCAAGAGCTATTTTGGTCGGCAATAGATGTATTTTTTGCGACCAAAACTCTTGGTCGGCAATTGTCATTTTTTACGAAAAAAAATGTATTTATTTGCGCTGGACTAATAAAGTTGTGGTCGCCAAAAGCAAAGAAATGCAATACAAACTTGTAATTTCTAATAATTCATTCGAATCCATAATAAACCTATTAATATTTTAAAGCGATCATTCAGAATTAACTGAATCATTAACATTCGACACATACATAATTCAATTAACATTCGACACAGATAACAACATTCTGAAGTTTTCATTCACAAGTCACACCATCTAGCATAACAATTTGAAACATAACTATTTGTTATCCATGCGCAGCTATCAACAAATAAAACTACTAATATTTGTTATCCATACACATCCATCCAAAAATATTTAATCCTCCAAAAAATGCTTATACTGCCAAGTAGTCTTGTACACTTTAGCTTCGTGAACTTGTTAAGAAATATGTTGGGGAGGGTGCTCGTCTGGTTCATGAACTTTTGATCCACTTTTCCCAACTTCTCTGTGTATTCTGGTACTTTAGAATGGTCCAGTCAAATACATAATCGAAGTCAAAGCCTGCCAGACAAGGTAGAACAAGTGAATCATACAGCAAAGACACATTCACACTAATTTATGCCCAGTCAACACTTCTCCACTGAAGCCAGCCAACTTACCATGTTACTTATTTTTGTACCATGAGTTAAAATAAAAGTAAGTTGATGTCTAAGAAGCATAAGGGGGATTTTAGTGAGGAAAACATGCCAAGCCAGAGTGTTCATGTCATACCCAGGTGGAGAGTTGCTGAGCCAACAGAGCAACCTCCTCCAGATACAATCATTTGGCAAGTTTTTACGAAGGCTCAAAACATTAAGACTAACTAGACAAAATATAGTGTTGGTCAGGCTGTGAATATTAAAGGCTTAGTCATTTCATTGACTGATTATTACAATTGTTCACAATTTTGACACTATAGCAGGATTCTTTGAAAAACTGAGTTGCTGACCTAAAAACAGGTACACACTTTCAATGGAAGCAATCACAACTTAAGTATCAAGGACGTAGAGCACACAATTTGGTTCATATTTACCTCGAGTAACTAGACAAAAGCAATTGTTCAATTCATATTGTCAATGTCACCAACATAAAATCCTGAATAGGCAATTTGTCATTTTTCTTAATTTTAGAACTTAAAATTATTATCCTACAGCAACGTGGACAAGGATTCTCAAAAGCAAGCAACAAATTCAGGTTTAATGCAAAAGGCAATGAACAGTGGGCCCATATTTTTAGTTGTGAACATAAGCCAAGCATGCATTAGGAACTCTTACACATATAATGGGAGGAAAGATGCATCAGGAACTCTTACACATATAATGGGAGGAAAGAACAAAGAGATAGAGAGTTAAACAGTGCTCTTGTGTCAGCTATCTGTTGTTTCAGATATATTGGCACAACAAAATATCCGTCTGTTTGTGGTGGGTATATATATGTATATATAGATTCTTGTGATGGTCACCATTCCTAGTTAAAAATGTGGATCACCATACTTATTCTTTTTCCAGATTGCTCTACTAAGGAAGATGTTCACTCTTAAAACATCCATTATTTATAAAAGAAAACAGGGGAAGGAGGCAGATTTATCCCAAACGAAGCAAGAGTTACCAGTCCCTAATGCATAAAAGCAGCAGGTACAAGGATGTCTTTGAAATAAGTGAGCCAATATAAAAATTAAGAATAAACAATTTATGGAACCTTTGACCCAATTATTTAAACAAAAATAGATTGCATGGAACATAGACAACTAAACAAATAAACAACATACAATGTCCAAAACAAAAAGGATAGAACACCAAAGAACCATGAAATTTAAGCATGAACTTGGTTATCAGAAGTATACCTGTAAGGAATATGGCGGCTTGTGGTAGGGTCACGATATCTTTTTGCTAATCCAAAATCAATAATATATACCTAATCAACATGACAAGATTGAGATTATGACAATAATATATCTAAAATGAAGGAATCACAACGAAAACAGATATTATGACAATCCATGCATGCTAGATGTCAAAGAAGAGCATACAGCAATGGCTATTACCTGATTTGCTTTTCTGCCAAGACCCATGAGGAAGTTATCCGGTTTGATGTCTCGATGCAAAAATCCTTTAGAATGCACATACTCTATTCTCACAATCTGTAATTTCATATATCAAAAACCAAAAAAAAAAAAGTGTAATAATTATTACCTATTTGGCTTTAGTCACACTCATCATCTTAAGCATATAACAATTCAAGCAACAACCACAAGGGCAACCAGTAAACAAGAAAATTGCAAAATTAATTGGATATTTTGTCAAACTTGGTCATTTACAATCTACATATCACTGACCACTTGTGTCTATATACATAATACTCTTTGCAACATGAAAGACAATAAAGACTAAAAACTGTGTGAAGTGAATGAATATTTACAGTACGTCTTGACAAATAAAATGATTTTGGATGCCAAAGAGTCCCTTTACGTCATGACAAATAAAATGATTTTGAATGCTAAGGAGTCCCTTTCCAACTAATGTAATATGCTGAAGCAGACAATAATAACCACAAAATGAAATTATCAGGGTGAACAGAGCTATGGGAGCCTTATTACCCTGGCTACCCTTCCCGAGGCATATGCCTGCTTATCAACAATTGCTATATAGACTAATTGCTAATTGCTATATAGATGATCTACCTGCTTAATTTTTGCAATTGTCATTATTGAATTTAGTACCTACTTCCTCATTGCAGTTCTCATTACCATTGTCCATTAATATACCTGGACCTGGTTCATTGATGCACTAAAGCTGGTGTAAGTCTGGGAATAAGACAAATAAATTGGATAAACAATGCTTGTCAGTTTAGTCATTTATGTTAGCAACCCGTAGTGGACAACTGTCAAGTTCATTGAGTAGAGACATTCATGTGTAAACTCTTGCATTTTAGTATGAGATTTGGTCTTTGGTAACCCATTCCTTTAGTATGATCTACCAAGAACCTTGTTATAGTACAAGTTGCTTATTCATGGAGTAGCGATATGGTTGCTCTCTAGTGACTTGGGCATCATGAGTTCAAATCAGCCTTATATAATGCGAAAAGCCCTCCAATTTTGTGAGGCATTGCAGAACCCTCAAACCCAGACACAAATTGTCAACCAAAAAGACATATTTAAAAAACAACGAATGAATCAGAGCTTCAATGCTAGAAACATAAAATGCTAGCCAGAGCCCCAAATACACTGCTCCTTTAATCTCCAAAGAATCGGACTCATATCATAAACAACAACGACCACAACAACACATCAGACTAAGCCAAGGATAGATATCAGAAATTCAAGAAATACCCATTTGAAATCAATCCCTTCACTGCAAAACCCATTAATAAAAAAGAACACAAAATCAGCGAGAACCCAACATTACCAATGTATGAACCACAAACCTATAAAATGCAAAACCCACAAATGGAATGACCCGTTTTTCGCCAAAGCTCACAAATACAGTATCAAGCCATGGACTATGAAAAGGAGAAGAAAGATTATGAGGGAAAAAGGCTTGCTTTTGTGAAAACCCACAAATGGAATGACCCATTTTTCGCCAAAGCTCACAAATACAGTATCAAGCCATGGACTATGAAAAGGAGAAGAAAGATTATGAGGGAAAAAAGGCTTGCTGTTGTGACTTTGAAATCGAAAAGGCTGATTTTTCACAAAGAAAAGAGATGTTTGGCAAATATATATGCAGATTAATCATCTGTAGTCTTCCTTCTAATCACGTAGTAGATATATATATATGCAGTTTGTGACAAAATTGAAGGAGAGAGAGAATGATGCAGTTCAGTGAATCAATTTCCTCCAAACCATTGTTCGATCAAATATGAAATTGCTATCTCATTTCTCTCTAGAAGTACGAATTAGTTACCTGGTGAATGAGAGAGGAGAGATCGGAATGGGCGAGAAGGAGGCGATCGATGTCGTCGTTTTCGATTGATCTTCGTTCATAGGAAGAAAATTGATGCCGATGGAGAGAAAGGAAAGAGAGAGAGAGACATCCAATCTGGGTTCTTTCTCAACAAAGGAAATTGATTACATATCACCATATTAAACCAAATTACCCCAATATGGGTTCGATTGATGCATCAACAGTATGAAGTAGAAAATTATTGGCGATGGCGATTTGCAGCGGTGGCGACGTGCGACCGACGTGAGCAATGGTGGTGAGGGACTTCGGTGAGCTAGAGAGAGTGGGCACCGATTGAGAGAGAGAACACAGAAAGAGGGAGGGGCGAGCCAACATAGGGAGACACAGATTAGGGCTTTTTTTAGATAGAGACAAGGAGATCAGGGCTTTAATTTTTTTTTTTTCTGAAATTCAATTCCCGCCCCACGTTTCAAATTTCCCCCTAAACTTTTGGCGACCAAAAGATCAAATTAGTCGCAAAAACAGGTTCTTTCACCGACAAATTTTTTTAGTCGCCAAATCTCAATCAACGGCGACTAAAATATTAGTCGCTAAAAGTATTAATTTGGTGACTAATTTTTTTTGGTTGCTGAAAATAAGTTTTTCGCGACCAAATTTTTGGTTGCCAAAATATATGTGACCTTCTGCGACCAAATTTGTAGTTGGTCGGCAAAAGTATACCACTTTCTGCGACCAGCTCATTTTTTGGTCGCCAAAATATAACCTTCTGCAACCAATAATATTTGGTCGCCAAAAATAATGATCATTCGCGACTAATTAATATTTGGTCGCCAAATGTCATTTTTTTGCGACCAAAATTTTTTTAGTCGGCAAAAGTGGTCGCAAAATGTGTAAATTCTTGTAGTGTCTACTAAGAACATTTTTGACAATCCAACGTGTATCCTCATATTTGTAGCATATTCATTTAAAATTTTATTCATACTGTATTGTTAGTAAAAATATTGTTTCGCACAAATTGACAGGCGAGATAGTTGACAAACAAAACTAAACTTTTACATGAGTGAAAGATCAAACAATTGTGGTTGAGTTCTTCAAGGACTTCTTTGGAGGTAATTGACAAAGAATAAACAAACTCAAACTGAATTTTTATTAGAGATAAGGATTGAACTTGTCACTTGATTAGAAAATCTATCAATAAGAACAAGGAAGTCACAAGATTACAAGTTATGAAACTAAGTACTATTCCTAAAAGATGACTACTCCTAAGATATGTTACTGTTACTCCTTATTGTGGGAATTGAACTACGGGTGTTCAGCGGATATTCCGAACTGATTTGCTGCATTTCGGACGGATGCGTGATGACTAGCAGACAGTTGCAAATTGATTTTTTTTTTTCTAATCTGCCTAATTTTGGATGGATGGCTGATTTGAAGTTCTTTTGACCGCAACTGAACCGTTAAACCGCAAGTACCCCTAGTAATTTGTAAGACTTTATGTTTTTAATTTGTTTAGATATTCTGTTTGTGTTTTCAATTGAAAATAAGTTTAGATATTTTGTTATGTTTTCAATTTATTTTCAATTTGAAAATCTTTTTATCAAATGATAAGTGTTGATATTTGATATTTTTATGTGGAAAATATAAGGCTTAATTTTATTTTATTTTTTTAAAAAAAATCAAATTAAATAATTTTTGAATAAAAAACAATAATGAAATAGCTTTGATAATACATGGTTTTCTTGTATGTATTTATTATTGGTATTTGACAATTTACTTGATAATCTTTTGATTATGTTGAGTTGAATTGTTATATAAAAAAAAAAAAGAAGAAATGTTGACAAGTTGTTATATTATGTTCAAAGTTTGTAAAAGTTTAAACTGTCAAACTGATTTGCATCCATCTGCCAACCCGAAAATCCACTCAATTCGCATCCGCCAATCTAGCAGACAGATGGCGGATTGGAGGTTCGCCGGCCACAATCAAACTGCGAACATCCCTAAATTGAACAATAATTTCTCTAAATCATTTTTCCAAAATAATGATATTAAATAAAACAGATTGTGAAAATAAGTTTTATACAATTTGATATATTACAACAAAAAAGGGTTTTTACGGCACCAAATGCATACCGTGGATACGATTCTACGACGCCCAAGGCAAAGTCGTATTATGACCAATCATGGAAAGTCATTCACTTTCAACGACATGTTATAACATGCAATTAAAAATTTTTAACAGTGCATCTTATACGTCATGTTTAATTTTTCTACGATTACTTTTGTAGGTCGTTAATTCAAGCAACAAACCACGACACACAATGCTTGTCATTAAATATTTAACACAGTGACCTATTTTGCCCGTCGTAGAATATGTATAATTTTTTTATAAAAATTTAGTAGGTTCTATTTCACCTGGTTCAGTATAATCTTAAAAAACATTACAAACAAATTTTACAAATATATATATATATATAAAAGAGTATCAATCAACCACCAAAATATTATTTCAAACATCAAAAACACTATTCATAAGTTTCGAACATCCAAAAACTATCTGTACATCCCAAACTATTCAAAAACTATGCTTCTAAACATCAAAAATTTTCGCCAACTTCAAAACCATCCAAAAGGTTCTAAATTATAGATATTTAAGATACTAAATTTTCAATTTTGACATCACTCTCTTGAAGGTGAGAAGAGTGCATAAATATGTTGAGACTCTTGATATGTTCAAGATCAACAACTCAATGCCAAAGAGCAATGGAAGTCAAATCCCACAGTCACAATCCCATTTCAATAGCAACAGGCAAGGTGTTGAGTTGGCCATTTGTGACGTCGAGATGCTATGGTTGTTTGCCAATACGAGTGCATCAAATATCAACTTGTATCTGATTTTGAGGTTGGGTAATTTGCTATGAACCACTGTCAGCAATCGAAGTGGAAGAGCTAAAGTTGTTCTTTGTGACAGCAGCATCCCCCAAGCCAAGTCCATAAAATTTTAGTGTTACCAAAAATAAAAATAATCATTAGTGGATGTTTGTTACAATGAAAATTAAGTTATACTAATAATATGTAGACATTTAAAGCCAAAGCAAGCATATATTTACGTGCAAAGTAAATAATAGTGATAATAGACCATACAAAGGCTTCAATACACTAAATTCATTTTAGATACCTTATTTGCAATTTCAACATATAAATATTCATCAATGAATGGTGGTGCCATATGTATTCTACATAAGTAA